CCTATGTTTGGAAATTAAGAAGATGTCTTTAAGGAACTCAGGGGTTTAGAGATCAAAATTATAAAAAGAACAAAACTGTCAACTTTCACACATTGAATTAAAAAAGTAATAGAGCCGCAAGCAGAAATTAATAAAGTGACTAATTATAAACAAAGCTGAAAGGTGATCTGTTGAGAGACTAATGAGATCGGTACACCTATGTCAAAATGGGTGCAAATAAACAATGGTTGGAATTCAAAAGAGAGCATATGGGGTGCCTGGGTGGCTCAGTGGGTTAAGCCTCTGCCTTCGGCTCCAGTCATGATCTCAGGGTCCTGGGATTGAGCCCCACATCAGGCTCTCTGCTTGGCAGGGAGCCTGCTTCCCTTCCTCTTTCTCTCTCTCTCTGCCTGCCTCTCTGCCTACTTCTGATCTCTGTCTGTCAAATAAATAAATAAATAAATAATCTTAAAAAAAAAAAAGAACATAAAGCAGGTGTCAATGATATTTTTGGTTTTATTTAACAACTTAATGCCAGTAACTGGGACTATCTGGATGAAAGACAATTTCCTAAAAAAAAAAAAAAAAACAACTTGTCAAAGCCGTTTTTGAAGAAATGAAGAACCTAACTAATCCTAAAATCACTAACAGAGATAAAATCACAAGTTTTAAAACTTCCTCCAAAAAAAAATCCAAGAGCAGAAGGTTTTACCAGAGGCCTCTACCAAGTATTATAAGGTAGAAATATTTCTAAAAGGTGAGCCATGACAGCAGAAAAAGCAAAGGACTCGTCCCCAACTCATTTCATGGAGTTCGTAGCTGTTCCCTGTAGTGGCTTTGTACCATGTCAACTCAGGTATGCCAGAATTCTGCGGCCCAGAATTCCCTTTCTAGTGCCGTTCCAGGTTGGGACTGGCTGGAGGAGAACTTTGTGTAACATTTGGGTGGCAGAAAAAGGAGCTAGTTTTACGCTGTTAAGGCCGGTGTAGGCACTGCTGTTGGCTTGCACATGACCCTGGTCATCTGACCACGTGGATCCGTGGCTCGTTCCACTCCCTCCAGATTGCCCACTTTCATATCTCGGAGTCCCAGGCCAGGTGTGTGTGCCTTCTATGGTCAAGGGTGCCAGCTTCTCCTCGGGCCACCCACATCGCTGAGCTGGAGGTGGGGACAGACAAACCCTGTTCCCGGTTTTCCTCGGAGTTATGACAAGTCTCTGCTCTCCCTGACTTCGCCTTCGGCTCTGATGCCCACTGTCAGCCAGCCGGCCTACGCTAACGTGCCTACAAAGACTGCAGCCCCGCACAGATTCCTTAACCAGCAATTGGAGAGGGTCTATTTGGTATGAAAAACTCCTCATTCTATAACACTCGGAGCGATCAAAGTTTAACTGGTACATTACCCAAAATCGAACAAGTCAGTACAAGACAGGCAAATTATAGGAAGCCAACCTCACTCATGAACAAAGCTGCAAGAATCTTAAAGGAAGTATCAGCAAAGCAAATCTAGCATGAAGAATCAGGTTTCTGAGAACTCTCTTATGATAAGGTTCCTTTTAAATAACATCCTGGCCCATCAATTGAACGGAAAGATAACACTCTATTATGAGACACAAGCTTGCTTTCATAGAAGCACACAGTCAAACCTGCCACTTACCTTGGGATTATTTTGAAGCAAATCGGACACATGTCACTTAATCAACAGAGAAAAAATTGGACAGTGGCCAGAGTGGATGTAGGGCGAACATTTAGTATGCATTACAGTACAGGAATATACAGCAGCTTGGTCTACACCTTTGACCAAGAATTAGAAATGAATGAATGTGGATATAATCAAAGGAAATTTGGGAAGAAAATGGGTGCTGAAGAAATGGATTGGCTTATGCCTACTTCCACATCAACATCTGAAGGATTTTCAGCATAGGCTACTAGAGTGCATTATTGCACATTCAGGAATTGTCATCAGTTTTTTGCCTGTTAAGCCAACATTTATCTAGGAAAACACTTAAGGAAAATTCAACTCAACAAACCTATATTTGGTGATTGTCCAGATCATCTGGCTTCATCACCATTGGCAAAACCCTCATGGAACCTAGGGACTGTTGTTATAGATATTCAAGAGATTTCTGTGCTTCCCGAATATTGCTGCTTCCCCGTTACTTCAAAATTTGTGCTTCCTCCCTCTTTTAAAAATTTTCTCATATCTACTATTTTAAGTATTTTCTATTTTTTTGTTGTTTTCCCATGAAAATGAATGGTCAATTGTATATCAACCAGCATTTCTTTCCTGGCAACCAGGGGACTCACCAATGATGTAGGACAGAGTTTTGGGTCCACAGCTATTTTAGTCTGTTTTTTTTTGTTGTTGCTTAATTTTTGTGAGCTATTTTTGTTTGGTTGGTTGTTTTCGTTTTGCTGACAAAGTAGCAAAGTTATATCTAGTACACCAAGAATGGTTTTCTATACTCCACAGTCACTGAGCAACCAAAGAACCAGGAATATTTGTGGGGCTTACCAGTAACTGAAATGCTTGAGTGTTGTAAGTTTTGAATTTGCTTTTTTAATTTTACTACTACATAGAAAGACAAAATTTGATGAAGCAACATGAATGATATATTTACATCTATATTATACACTAGCGAGAATAATGTCATAAAATTAACATTAAGGGCTAACTGTGTACCAGGCATAATTCTGATTTCTTTATTAATTCATACAGAAATCCTGTGAGGTAGGATTGTTATCCCATTTTCCAGATAAGGAAATCGAGGCTTAAAAAAATGAAGTAACTTTCTCCAGGTAACAAATTTAGTATTTGCCTCGTGTGGGATATGGACCCGGCTTTGGTCATTTGAGGGCAGTGTTGAGGCTCCTAACTACTGTACTAAGTCAGAATGAATAGCTCTATTAGAACATGGATTAACAAGGGCACCTGGGAAGCTCAGTTGGTTAAGTGTCTGATTCTTGGTTTTGGCTCAGGTCATGATCTCAGCATTATGAGATCGAGCCCCATGTCTGGCACCGTGCTCAGTGCAGACTCTGCTTAAAATTCTCTCTCCCACTGCCCCTCCTCCTCCACCCCATTCGCATGCTGGCTCACTCTCTCTAAAAAAAATAAAGAAAACGTTTTAAAAAAAGAAAGCAGATCTCCTGAGATTTGTTAAATCAAGGGTAGGTGCACTGCTGATGCATATGGAGTTGATAAAAAAAAATAGTTACATCATTGAGAGTTTTAAATCTTTTCATCCTATGTTTTGTGGCTAAAACATAACATTAGGAATTTTTTTAAGGCAGTATATACTTTCTTCTAAAACTATGTTTAGCAGAAGCCTGGAGAAGTGTTGAGTTCTGTTTTCAAAATGAGAATTGATATCTTTGGTTAGATTTTCCTTGTTTTTCCTTTCATAATGGCATTGTGATATCTCTCCATTCATCTCACAATCTGCACGCTAGCCAAACGCTTTCCAAGATATCAGGTAAGAATAACAGCAACAGCAAAACAAAACAACAAAAAAAACACATTTTTTGGCCACTTTTTCACAAAATTGTTTTGGGCTTCATAAAAATCTTAACAATGGAAATACACTGTCTACGGTAAAATCGTATCTTCTTCATGGAGAATTGCTACTTGCCACTTAGAGTTTATGAAATGTCAATGAGAATTATATGTCAATCAGATATTTTGTGGACACTTCTAACAGTTAAGGAGCATCACGGCAACCTAGCTCTGGGGATTTCCAAGTCTATCATGAGTCTAAGATTGATTCCCAGATGTACAGATGTTTCTTAGACAGTGATGGAGGTCCACGCCAATTCTGAAATGCCAGTCTAGAGGGTAAGGTTCAAGTGTACAGCAACTGTCTTTTCATCTCTGTGTACCCAGGGCACCCAGTAGACATCTAAGAAATATGGAGTGAATGGGTGAATGAATGCATGAATAAATGAAATTTCATCACTTACTTGGTCATTACACAACTAGAAATTAACATACTTTAGTCGTTAGCATTTATGTTAGTCTCTCATGGTTTAAGCACTTAGGGATTTTGAATTTAAATTGTATTTTATTATTTTCGTGCTACATATGGGCATTATTTGTGTCTTTCTGAAAAACCATTTATGTCTTTTGGTGTAGTAAAAAAAAATTCCAAATTCAGAGATATCTTCTATATTACAATGTTGAAAAAGATATTTTAAGCATTTTGAGAAGACTTTAACTCTCAATATTAACAAACAGGTGAGTATGGTAGAAATCACCCTTACGTGACAGCTAACAAGAACTTACTGTGTCCTAGACATTAAGGACAAGTACATTTTCTTCAACAGTGAAGTGTCCTAGACATTGAAGACAAGTACATTTTCTTTAACAGAACCCCTTAGCGTTCTGTTTCAAGATCTACCATAAAAAATATGCTTTAGGCAAGCATGTAATTTTGTTACTTCAAACTCCATTTAAGTGGATTTTACGTTATGCTTCTACTTTTAAAAAATCATCCCAAAACAAGTTGGTGATATTGAAAGAGCGTCCTTACCTAACATTTATTCTTAAAGCCCTGCCCACACCGGCTTCTAAAGTATCCTTCACTGTGGTTAGGCACTACTGTGATATGTGTGGTTTTATGAGGATCCTGACCGTATGTTCTCGAACTGTGATTTTTTCAGACCCCTGTGACCTTTCCTAACTACTCAGTACCAACTAAGAGAGGAGCAATCAGGGACCACAAGATGTCACTGTAGGTTTCCCAGCAACCTTTAGAGGAGAAGTGAATGACCCTTGGACAAAGGTTCACTGTTAGAGAACAATCACTGTGCTTTCCCCCAAGGTCAGGCCTGCCCTCAGACCTCCTCTGCCCTCATTCCCCATCCCTAGGCCAACAGATTTAGGTACCCATGTTTACATAAAATAGAATAAAAAATAAAATGGAACAACAAGAGTGGGGCTCGGGGATGACGGTTATGAGCTCCATGTGCTTGTGGCCTGGTAGAGACACCCACAGCAAGGCGGCCTCCCGGAACTGAACGATGGCCCGTTCCAGATGCGACTGTGCAAGGGTGGAAATTTGGCACTAGCAGGTACAAGGGAATCTAACATATCTTGTGATGATTTAAGGCGAAGTTTTTATCTTGCATTTAGTGAGTCATCTGTACTTTAAAGAAACATTTTTTTTTAAGATGGGAATATAACATTTTTTAAAAAAAATTTTAGAAAATGGAGAGATCGCAGACTTTTACTCTAAGATAAAGAATTTAAACATGGTCCATGTAGTTATTATTCTAGAAGGCAGTGTATGAACTGGGTTGCTCTTCCGAAAATAAAAATTGATCGCGTGTTTGACGACATATGGAATTACTGTTTTTTGTGTGATTAGGATACTATAGTTATGACTGGAGAGAGTCCTCATCTTTTTAGAGATAGATAGTGAACTATTTATGGGTCATATCATATAATGAGGTCTGCTTCAAAATAATCCCAGGACTGGGGTTGGGAGGGCTGCAGGTGGCTTGAAGATGAAACAAGACAAGTTGTGAGTTGGTAACTGTTGAACTGGGTGCTGGAGATTGTATGAGTTTAGAGTATTCCACTGTCATACGTGGGGGAAACTGCCAACCGGGATTCCAGCTGGAGTCCCTTCATCTTGATCTGTTTCTGAAGATTCGGGTGGGGGTTCAACGCTGCCTTTTGGAAGCAATGAGCTCCTGAACTTTGTGATTGCTTGTGTAAACAACAAAACAAAACAAACAAACAAACAAAAGCGTGTGTTAGTGTCCCACTTGTAATCTTAAAACTGTCAGAAGTTGATCCAGCTCTGTAGCTTTTTCAGAATTTCTTGAAAATGTGTACTCACTCCTTACAGTGTGTGGCATCATTACAGATTTCTATCATAATCCCTCTTAGATTTCAACTTTCCATTTTGAAATTTCTCAAGTACTAAGATTCCTCTCCTTAGAAGTACCTTTAGCTCATTGATGGTTTCCAGCGTCATCCTTTGAAACTATTCCAGTCTTCACAGTGCTCTCTCACGGAGGACTGGCAACCAGCCCAAACTCAGGTCCCCGAGTTTTCAGACACATTAGCGTTGGTTAAAATGGGAATAGAATGGCCCCGTTTCATTTCCCATATCCTGCCTAAAAGGCATAAAATTTTATTTTAGCCCTTGTGGGCAGTAATAGTATGTCATCTCTAATCTACACGGTATTTCAGACGTTTTTTTCTGAGACGTAATACTTCAGAGTCTGTTATCTTCTACGGAATATAATTTTAATTATTTCTTGGAGTATTTTATCTACTGCTGGTTTGCTTTAAAACTTCTGCCTCCTCACAGGGCTCGGTGATATCCTGCTGCTTCCCAAATCCACTTCTGCACTGACACGAGGGAAGATGCTAGATTCTTCTATATATCTAGATATTTCGTAGTGGGTCCATATTTATACAATCCTAGATAGCCAGCATTTAAGTGATTCAGTCGCAAACACTCTCACTTCACTGTGCATTTTTTTAAATGAAATCATACAGTTGAGCTACTTCATAGATTTAATATTCTGTTCCTTATTTTTTCCGGTAAATTAACTGTAACATTTTCCTTCAATTTCTTGGAGTCATTTTTTAAAAATTATTTTTGCTTTGGATGCACCTAAAATTTTTGAAAGAAGTAATTATTATTTCCTGAGTCCCCCTGATTATTTATGTGAATTTTTAAATGTATTCTGCAGGCCAGCAAACATCTCACTTAACTAAGTATGTAGTTATGATGAAATCCAATGGCTTTTTTCTCCCCACTGCACTGGAAATTTATTACCCCCATGGACTACATTAAAAAAAAAAAAACCCTCTTGAAGTATTAAGTATTCTTTGGAATTCCATTTTCAAATGACGTCTTAAGTCTTTTTTTTTTTTTTTTTTTTGAGTGGCCACTACTTAAGAGATACAGTGTGATAGATCTGTGACATCTCAGATGTATATACTCTGAGCACCCAACCCAGTCGGGGGGACTGTCAGAGAAATAATTCCCTTCAGCCTCTGCTAAGGCCTGGGAATGTGCCCCCCATCCAAGCTGCCTCAGCTGAGCTGGTCCAGTTTTCCTGGCAAGGTCTGATACCCTTTGTGGTCTTGGACTATGCCCACAGCTCATGGGCCACCTTGCCCTTTGTATGTGAGTCACAGAATCTGAATCAAAGAGTGTCAGAGCCAGAAGACAGTAATCTTATCAAAGTTCTTCATTTTACAGAAGAGAACTCCTACATATCATTAAGCCGCCTGCCCCCGGTCCTTTAGTTTGAAGGATTAAAGCTTAATTCAAGATAAGGAAAAGATAGTGGTGTCCATTAGTGATAATTTTGAGGTAAATGCTGGCGATGGAATACGGCAGCAACTCTGAATGAGGTAACGCACAGGAAATAACTTTATTCACAAAACGTTTTTGTTCTTACCTGGTTTGTTATATGAAGGCAAGAGCCCATTTTTTTTTTTCTGTAAATACCAATGGAAGGTAGAGCCTAACCATAGTGATAAAAAGGTAAAGACAGAGAATGGAATCATGACCATTTTTCATCAAGACAGACCTGGATATGTTGATACCGTGTAACCGGACCCCTGGCTCAGTTAATCCCTGGAGACCTCCGTGGGCCAGTTCCTGCTCTCCACTAGGTCATGGCCAGTGCGCCTCATTCAACTTTACGTGCCAACTGAAAACACCAGGCACATATGCGGTTTTTCCTCTCGTTGCCCTGCCTTTTAGGGTGAACGCTCTCCATCGTACTTAAATTGACCACTGATGCCTTCTGGCCTAGAAATGACCTCCGGAAAAACATCAAAATAGTGAGCTGTGCCTATGTAAATAACAGGGCTATGATTTTTGCATGGAAGCCAATTCTAAACTTAGATTCTTACCAAAGGAACATGAGCCACCTACCAGCTGACCCTAATGCACACACACACACTATTTATTCCCGAGGCTGAAGCAGAAAGGCTCATCAGTCACCCATCACTGCTGAGCTCTCTGGGGGCAGCCTTCTGTCTGTACCTTTCAAGGGTCAATTTTACAAGGGACTGATTTGTACATAATTCAAATCAGCTTTCCTATTTTAAATAAGGAGTTCAAGGCTATTCAGCTTCCGAATAGGAAATGCAATTTTACACATTTTTCCCTTTCTGTGCCGTGCAAATAGTTAAATACTTCCGGCTGCAGCTGAGTCTTCCCTCTAAAAATAGAAAATCCTATTGCACTTCTGGCCCATCCCCCACCAGCTCCTTCCCAACCCGCTCCAAGTGCTTCTGAATAGAGCTCAGTATCCCGGCCCCTCTCGGGTTGGCACACAGGAATCTTTGTAAAAGTCCAAAGGGGAGCAAAAAGTAGCTAGAAATCCAGCCGCTGGCATTTCTTCCAGCTAGAGCACTTAACTCTGACACCTGGTTGTGGCAGACAGAAACTATGCCCGCAGATATTGCCGATGACATGAACTGCGTAAAGCAGATGCTCACGAAAACGAGAGCAAGTGCAGAAGAATGTTCTTAACAAAAAGCTAGCTGGGGTATACTGACCAGTCAAGGTTAGTAGAGCAGCCATTGCAAATCTGTTGGTGTCCTGAAGTAAACTAGAGTGACCTGTGGGGTTTTTTTGTTTTTTTGGTTTTTTTTTTTTGCAAATACTAACTTTCAACTGGGGTGCTTTCCAGAACATGGGTTCTGAAACGTAAATGTATGGCGTGGCAAAGGGGTGCACTCTTTTCACGGTTTAGTGTACAGAGAATGCATCTATGGATTCCTTTTTATGACCATGTATGAAACACCACGGTATGATCTGTCTTTGCATTGTTTACCTTTCCACCTCTTGATTAAAAAATGTGTATTTAGAAAAAAATTGGAAAGGATATACAACCAAATGGAATGGTTGTACTTGGAAAATATCATGGCTTTCTGTGTTTTATGATGTATTTATTTATCGTCCTGTTTAATGTTCCTCTATTGTAACTGGCTAAGAAAATACAGTCATTGTTGCTACAATTTCAAATATACACAGTATTATATGAAAATGTAGACAACAGTTCCACATTTTTTTTTCATTTTTAGAAGGCAACTCTTAGTTTATTTAATCAGTTTATTTTTAAGTATTATGGACCACTATGCGCTCTGGGGTTAAAGAGAGAATGGGACAAGATAAATTTCCCTGAACGTTTGAAAGGACTGAGATTGCTTCCCGGCTTTATCAGTGACTGATTTCAACTTGAGGCAAAGCACTTAATCTCTGTCTTCGTCTTCTTGGGCCACCATAACAAAATACCAGAGGCTGGGCCGCTTAAACAATAGAAATTAACTTTGTCACAGTTTCGGAGGCTTCAAGTCCAAGATCGAAGTTCCCACATCGCTAGGCTTTGGTGAGAGCTCTCTTCCCGGCCTGTAGATGGCCACCTTCTCGCTCTGTGCTCACATGGCCTTTTCCTGATGCAGATCTCTCTCTCTCTGTTTATAAGCCCACCAACTCTGTCAGATTAGGGCCCCATCCTCATGGCCTTGCTTAACCTTAATTACCTCCTAAAAGCCATACCTCCAAATAGAGTTACACGGGGTGTTGGGGTTTACCATAGGAATTTGGTGGCAGACAAAACAATCCTATCTTAGTCCCTTTGTGCTGCTCTAGCAAAATACCACAGACTGGGCAGCTTATAAATGAATTTATTTCTCCCAGCTCTGGAGGCTGGAAGTTCAAGATCAAGGTGCCAGCAAGGTCATGTTCTCCATGCGGGTCCTCTTCCCGCTCATTGCTGGCTCCTTCTCACAGTATCCTCACGTGGGGGAGGGCCTGGGGGAACCAGTTTCAGGAGGACACCGATCCCGCTCGCGAAGGCTCCACTCTCGGCTTAAGAACCTCTCCAAGGCCGCCGCTGCTAATACTGTCACACCGGGCACCAGGATCTCAGCACAGGGATTTTAGGGGGACGCCATTCCGCCCACAGCACTGAACCTCGGTACAATGGAGTAACAGGGTTCTATTAACGACATACTTTGGGTCAAACACTTCTCACACAGGTCCATTTAGCCCTTAGGACAACTAGAAAATGTAGATCCTGGTCACCTC